GCAGTGGCTTGAAGAGACAACACCGGGCCCCTTCTCATGGAAGTCTGAAGGCTGGCACCTTGTGGAGGGAGAGAAAGGTGGGCTTTGCCATTGTCCTGCCTCTGATCCCTCAAGGCAGGTCCAAAAGGCAGAAAGGTGCCAGAGGCAGTTATCAAAGGAGAGCGAGACAGTCGTCTACAGGAGGAAGCCTCTGGGCCGCCCACCACTTTACCCCAGGAAGTGCTGCCAGCCAGAAGGATGTTAAGCCTAAATCTGCTTAGGATCTACGGAAAAAATTCCTGCTGGGGCCCTAATCCTCCCGTTGGCATTGCCAAGGTCAAATTCATTCCCTCTCCAAGTTTTCTTCCCCACCTCCTCCTTTACTTTGGGCAGGCTGATTGTGTGTTTCAAATCAAGCTGTTCGTTCTGGAGACAGATCAGGTTTTTATATACGAGGGCAGAGTATCCTGACGGCTTATTTAGGCCCAGAGAGGAGAAGGTGGGAGGTGGTGTGAGACGCAGAATAGGAAATGTCTCCTTGAGACCTGAGACCAAGCTGACTTAAGAGGCAGGAAAGATGTGGTCACCAGTCGCAAGGTGGAGAAGGACCCGGAGGGACTGCCACGCCGGGGATAGCATCGGGCGAGGCCCAAAATCTGCTGCTTTTGTGGGCCCCCTGCTGCCCGGCTGGATGGTGAGACACAGCTGGACGTGGTGACCCTATGGGGAGAGCGGCCTGAATGGTACGTTTGTCCTCATCAGCAGAAGGTGTGGGGTAGGAGAAGGAGCCAGGAATTCCAAGCACAAGACTTGGCCTGATTTCCTTAGTCTCTGGTTTTTTTCTTCCAACACTGCCCCACCCAGACAAAGGGAGGTTGGAGTTAAGGAAGAAACAAGCTCCGGAAAAGGTAACTAGGACAAAGACTGAGTTGATGATCGTTGACCTATGAGGTTGAAAAAAGGCAGAAAGTATTTGCAGGAAGTTTTTCTTAGTAATAATAATACAGTGTCTAGTAGTCACTTAGCACTTATTACTGATTTTTAAAGACTTCCATAGGGCGTGATGGTGCACACCTGTAATCCCAGCACTCAAGGAGGCTGAGGCAGGGGGATCGCTGTGAGTTCGAGACCAGCCTGGGCTACATTGTGAGTTCCAGGACAGTCTCAACTACATAGTGAGACCCTGTCTCAAAAAACCAAAAAAAACCCCAAAAAACTTCCATAAACCTTGTTTTATCTTTACAACAATGGTGGGTCCCATTTTATAAAGCAGGAAGTGGAGCCCATCATCTTCCAGAGCAGCACCATCAGAGGTGGAATCAGGAATTGAATCTGGTCTCGCAATATCTTCCTCCTTATCCTAGACGAGGGATGGTGAACCTATGGCACACATGCTGCAGCAGGCTGTTAGATATCACTGAAAGCTCTAAAAGGTCCGCCATCCCTGTCCTACACCTCCAACTGCAGAAGAAGAATGCCAGCACACCCCGCCAGCACCCTAAACCCTGTGCATAGACTCACAAGCAGATTACCACCATCACGTAAGAAGCACAGAGCTGGACCCTTCTCGGCCTTATTATTCTCACGAATGCACAGCGGGCAGAGAGCACGTGGACACAATGGGACCACAGGTGACTTCTACTTCCAAAGGCCTTGCTGAGAAGGCTAGCCCCTGACAAGACTGTCCTTAGGGTGCTAAGGACAGTACTGCAGGAAAGCATGTCACGGAGCTAGAGCCGGGGAAGCCTAATGCATGCTCTTCTTCCGTGCGACCGACCCTACAAACAGGTGCACCCGGCCTCTCTATTCTGGACTTTGTCAAGCTTTGGCTTCCTGCAGAGGTCATTCCGCAAACATTTTGAAAAGACCTCAGACTTACCTGCATGTTTACTTGTTAGCCAGCTGTTCCGAAGCATTAAAGTCTCTAGGCTTGCTACTCTATAATCGGTGGGGTCCCCTCTCCCTAGGGGTATTTGGATCCTCTGGTAGATCAGCTGCATTCTCCTACCAGGGCCCAGTCAGTCAGCCAAGGCTCTTTCACAATCAACCTAGGACTGACCATGAACTTTCTCATACCGTGGCTTCCGGCGCTTGTCTCTCTACTCCATCTCCACCAGTTTCCCGGGCGGCTCAGGAGGGCAGGCCACCACACCCCGGCCAGCTGGAAAATCCCTCAGCTCCTCTGCTGTCCCGGGCACAGGGACTCTTCAGTTCCCAGCTAGACTGCTGTCTCCTTGCGATCTATTCTGACTTTCCCTCCTCTGCTCTCATTGCTATTCAATTTATGCACCTTTCCCACAGTTCTTCTTTAATTCTACTCATGCTAATTGTGAGCATGGTTCATTTTTCCCTAATAGATTAGCAACCCCTTGGAGATGTAATGAACTGATCTCTATGGTCCCCCGCTCCTTTCACGTCTGGCTGGCAGTTTACTTTAAACTTAGGAGGAGTACAGTGCATAGTTGCTAAAATGAAATTTACCTGGGCATCCTAAAAAATAGGCTGTGATCCAAAAATCCACATACGGGACAGCCCCACTCCTCATTCTGTCCTTTGTCAAATCTTAGGGAGCTAGTGCCTCTCTCCTTCCACCCGTGTCTCTGTACAGCCAGATCCACCCAGTACAGGTTAGAAAAAAAAAAAAGGTAAAACCAGACCAACAAGCCAAGGGTTTCCATTTAGTTGGGTTATTTAAATAGGTTATAATTACATAAGCAAAAGCAAGGGGGTGCTGCAATTACCTGTCCCCCAAAAAATCAAGGAAGGATTTTATGGGGTCCAGGAAGGTGAGACGGGGATGAAGGAAGAGGAAGGAGTTTCCTGGAAAGATCAGGGTGACATCAAGACCCGAGTGAATTCCCCACTGTGCCAACAGAGATGGGTCACCGCCTTCCCCTTATGGAACAGAAAGCCCAGATACTCCCGGCGTGGGAGTCAGCATGGCTCAGGGGCTCTGAGGCCCTGCTTGTGTCTCAAAATCAGCCAAGGACCACAGTGGCTGAGAGTAGAGGAAGAGGAGACAGAGGAGGGTCACCATGAGCCTCGAACAGGTCCATAAGAGGTGAGGGAAGAAATACCCCAAAAAGAGTATATGGGAAAGGCTGTGCTAGTCCTACAGGGACAGGTGCAATCAGTGATGGATATCGGGTCCAATCAGGGCTGTGAGGGGTGGGCCAGGTGAAGGAAGTGCCCTCCTCACACCATCACTGCCACATAACTCAAATGTTCTTTACTGGCTAAGGATTTGGGGCCAGCATAGAGTTACCCTGCATTAAGTTCTGGGGAGACAACGGTTGCAGGCTTACAAAGGGGGAAAAGAAAGAAAAGAAAACCCCAAGAATCAGATCTCAGCCAGTAGGGGGAGGAGAGGCTTTTTCTGCTAGAGATGTAAGATATTTTCAGAGAGAGAGAGAGAGGGAGGGAGAGCGAGCAAGAGAGGGAAGAGAGACAGAGAAAGACTATTACAAACCAGCCAGCTACACATCTAATTCCTGTTTAACGACAGGTTCCATCCAGAAATCTTCCTTCCCGAGGCATTGTGGGGAGGGTGCTATCTGTTCTGCTTCCTTCAAGTCACTCTGTTCCTCCGGGACACCTAGAGGATGATGATAAGCCTCCCTCTGGGCCCAGGCAGGAGTCTGGGACACGCAGGACCCCACATCTGTGCCGCACCCAGTCCTCAGACCCTCCTTCGCTCAGACTTTGGACCACAGCAGCAGGCAGGGCCCCGGGCACCACCTCCAGCACCTCCCTGCCTCTCAGAAGGGAGGAAGTGAGGGATGCTCAGGGCAAGGCTGCTGGAGCCTGTGATCCCGAGGAGCCCCCTGGGCCAGACACCCCCCAACCCCAGGGCTAACTGATGGCCCAGAGGGACACTAAATGGGGAAGGCTTTGGACCTGGTGACCACAACTCGCTCCTCTAACCCCATTGGCCCTGTGGTACCTGCCAGTGCCTTGATCCGGGACCTCTCAAAGAGCCTGGCCGAGCTGTTGTCATTATCCAGCTCGTCGTCCGGGGCATCCCACCGGGCATTGATCCGGCTGTACGGTGGCTGGTTGCCCACGTTTTCAAACTCCGTGGCCGATGTCATGTCAGCAGGCTCTGCTCAGCGGCTACTACGCCTGCCTCAGTCTTCATGGATGGGTCCCTGGGGACAGCAACACAGAGGGTTAGCTCCCCACCCGCTGCACTTTTCCTCAGGGGAAACTTATTGGGGCCGTCCAGCAGGCGCAGACCCTGGTGGGACGAGCGAGCCCTGTTCCTTGCCAGGGCATGCTTCCGACCCAGGGTCTCTGGGTCTGTTATAAAATCTGGCAGCAGCAAAAGTAACAGCGGTGGCGGCGGCAGCGGTAGCAGGGATGGAGACAGAGCTGCACGCAGCAAGGGTCAGGACGGCCAGCAGGTGGAGATGTCGGAAGCAGTGAGCCAGCTTCCTACAAATCCGCGCCACCGCCCTGGGGGCAGCAAGAGAGGCAGCTCTCAGACCCCGGAGCTGGAGCTCAGGGTTGGTGGGGAGCAAGCTGTGAAGATAGCCCCGACTCGGGGACTGGGGCCAGGTGCCAGACTGGTAGGGAGACCTGGCAGGCAAGGGCAGAGGAAAACCTGGAAGTCACCTGAGTCCAAGTCAAGGGGTGGGGGAATCAAGCAGCCATTGGTGTCACAGCCCTGACCCCGGCAGCCACCTGCGCTGGAGGGAGTTTGTGCTCACTGAGGCCACCCAAGAGCCTTGAGCTCCTCCACAGCAGCCAGGATTCAGAGGCTTAGCTGTTCTTTTCGCCCTCTTTGAAGGCACTCTGGTGCCAGGACAAGGTCTGTGGAATCCCAGGCCTCACCAAGCAGCCCAGGGGAGCCTGTGTCCCCTCAGGGTGGTCAGCATGAAACGCTGGGTGAAGATAGTGGAGCCACATGTCAGGTGTCTCTGCAATGAGCACAGCCATTTTTGCATCCTCACTGCTGGGACGCTACACTCGACACCCACCTTCTGAGCGGGAGAGGTTTAATTTGGCTCAGTTTGTAGACATTTCATTCCCTTGGCTGGCTCCAAGGCAGAGCACCTGGCGGAGGGGTATTGCACAGGAGAATTGCTCATGGCGTGGCAGGCGGGAAGCAGAGCGCTCCCAAGGGAGGAGGAGGGAGAAACAGCCTTCCAGGCCACGCCCCCAGCGACGCACCTCCTCCAACCAGGCTTTACCTCCATACGTCCCATTCCGCTATAAACTCATCAGTGGACTCATCCACAGATGGGTGTCACATCCCCAAGATCCAGTCACTTTCCACTTCTGAGCACATGAGGCTTTGGGGAGATATCCAGATATAAACCGTAACATTCTGCCCCTGCCCGGCCATTCCTATATGCAAAATGCATTTAGTGCATCTCTAAGAGTTGCTAAAATCCTAACAGTTTCAGCCTTGCCAAAAAGTCCAGATCCAAAGTCTCCACCAAGATTGAAGGCAAACTCTAAGCTGTGAGCTCCTGTCAAAATGCAAAAGTTAAACATTTCCAACATACAGTGGCACAAGGCAAGCATTCCCATTCCCAAAGGCAGAAGTGGGACAATAGAAGGGCATGGGACCCAAACAAGACTGAAACCCAGCAGGGCAAACGTTAAATCTCATAATTCCATGTCCAACATGTGGGACAATCTGTTGTAAACTCTGTGAGCTCCAAAGGGCTTGTGTGGCCCTGCCCCTATGACTGCTGGTAGTCACAGCCCTCATGGCCTCTCTGAGGCTGGCTTTGCTCATTCCTCGTAGTTTTCCTCAGATAATCCATGTTCCTAGCTTCTCCACCATCCGGAGCTCTCTACTGCACTTTCAGCTCTATACATACAGCTTTACACACTTCTGTCTCGGGGCAAACTGCCTGGCCTCCCAGGCCTTCCTCTGAAATCTGGGTGAAAGACTTCCTGACCCCACAACTCTTGCATTCTAGCATGTGAGTAGAACTAGCATCATGTGGAAGTCTGCTGCCAGCTGCAACAGTAGTTGAACCCTTTTACATCTAGCTGGTGGTTACAGAGTCCTCTAAGTGCCTGAGTGGCTAAGCACGGTGAACCGAATCCCGGGGAACCAATTCCCATTTTGTAGGCTGTTGCCCTTCAGCGCCCTGGTACGCTCTTTTGAAAGCAAAGTTTTTCACCTTTGCAACTTTGAGCCAGCAGAGGGAGTCTTGTTGGTTCCTCACATTCCCTCATGACATTTTTTCTACTGTTGCATTCCAAAGTACCTGGCCTCTTTTTAATGCTAATGTTGCCAGCAATCAAGTGCCCCTTTGCTCCATTTTTGCAGGTCCCAACTTTACCAAAGTTCCTTTCTGGCCAAATTAAAAACTTTTTAAATCATTCTTCTGGGCTATTTGCTCTTGATTCACAATATGGAGCTGGCTAAAAGCCCCTAACAGTACCCAAGCTATAGCATGAACGTTTGGCTGCCTTGAAGTTTCCTCCTCTAGGTTAGTCCGCTGCCCTTAGTCTCAATCTCCCACAAAGTCTCTGGACCTGAGTTAAATGAAGACAGATTTTCTGCCAAAGCATATGACACATGGCCTGCAGTCCAACTGCCAATGGAGTCCTTCTTCTCAGACGAAGCCTTTTGAGCCTCGTCTTTTTCGGCTGCATTGCAATCAACATTCTGGTCTAAGCTCCAACAAGAACCTCCCATCAAATTTGGCTTACAACACTCTAGGGCTGCTTCTTCAGCTGGCATTTCCAAACCTTTCCAACTCCTCCCACGAGAGTTTCAAAGGCTTCTGAACCACATGGTCAGGTACAACCCCATGGCAACAACCCCACGTCTATGGCACCAAAATCTGTCTTAGTTAGTTTCTCAGTGCTAGGACACGGTACTGGACACCCAAACTGTAAGGTGAAGACATTCATTTAGCGCTCAGTTTGTAGAGGTTTCAGTCCATAGTCAGCTGGTTCCCAGGCAGGGAGGCGTGGCAGAGGGGCATGGTGGGCAGGAAGTAGTGAGATCAAAGGAAGCCACGCCCCCAGTGATCACCTCCCCTCACCAGGCTTCACCTCCCAACATTACATTTAGCTATAAATTCAGTAGACTAATCCACTGATGAGCATCACGTACTCACAATTCAATCACCTCTCCAACAACCCACCTATGAGCAAGTGAGGGAAGGCATCCAGATATGGGCCATAACAGGTGTCAAGCACCCATTCCTTCATCACAGGGGTACTTCAGTTCACAAACTCGATCCTCATCCAACTTGGTTTGTGTCCAGAATTGTAGAAAGAATCAAGTTTGTGAACCAAGATACCTCTGTACAATTAACCCCAATATTTATCAAGCTCCAGTCACCATTCTAGGCAGTTATGAGTAAGACAAGACTATATCCTTATGGAGCTAATACTCTGCCAGGGGTGAAGGACAATTAAATGAACATTTACAGTAAGGTGTGTTGTGTGCCGTGACTGAGAGAGACCAAGATTGGGTGGGGCTGGGTGTCAAGAGAAGGGAAGTTTTAAGTGATTGGTAAAGGAAGCCTGAGGTGCCATGAAGGGACTGGCAGAAAGGGACAAGAGTCCAAACGAAGAAATAAAAAGCAGTTGCAAAGTTCTGAAGGTGAGAAAGAACACCCAAAATTGAGGGTCCTTAAGAAGTAACTGGAGGGTGAGGATAGGCCCAGGAAGAAAGTGAGCCCGGAAGCTGGAGACACTGGCTTGGTCTTGAATGTACTGAGCCTTTAGAAAATGCCTAGCTTTCCTCCTCTGTATCTGCTTTTTGGGCATCTGCCCAGAAGCTTAAAGAACGCGCACATCAAGTCTGTAAGATAGAACCCGAGGCTCAGAGCCTGGCTGGTGGCTACCTGACATGTTGACAATCAGTCAAAGGCCTGACTATAAAGACAACACTGAGGTAAGCCACAGACAGCACCTTCACTCCCACCCAGCACACAGCACACCTCGCTACACGCATCCAACACACCCGCAGCGGGCACAGACACCAGAAGCGGCTCGGCTCACCCGCCGAAGGTATCTGCCGTGATTCAGCTCTGACTGTTCAGACTCGGAGTCCACTCCAGACTTTCTCACTGGAACTGATGAACTCATCCTGCCACATCCCTTTGTGATAAGACAGCAGCCAGAATCATCCATCCTAATTGCACAGAGGAGAAAACCCAGGCCTAACACAGGTTAAGCCCATCCCAGGGTGATCTAGGGAATGACCGCTTTACCTTAGACCAAAGGCTGGACTAGTCCAGTTTATCTCCCTCAGCCAGATGGGTTTTAGGGGAACAGGTGGAAAAGTACAAGGCCCATGGGGACACAGGGCATTTGCCAGCTAGCTTGCAGGGCTGGGCAAAGATGTTTGCCTTTTGGAGGAAGGGAAATTATAAGGTAGAAAAGTCAGTCAGCACCCCAAACACAGCACCACCAGGCTAGGCCTGTGCCCAAGACCACCTGTGTCTCCACCTGTGTCTCTGTGAACGGCCTGTGCTCATCCATAACTGCTTGTTCCAGCCCTGAGATTTCCCTCGCAGCTGGCTGGGCAAGACAGCTGGGGAGGACTCTCCATTCTTCATTCCTCCCCCACTTCATGGAAGAGAACTACCACTGGCTTGGATGGCTGAGCGAGAGAGGGACAGACAGGCTCAGCGCCTCCTGCAGGGCCACAAGCCCATCTAGCAGGATGTGACAAGAATTGAGCTGCCAGACCCAGGAGGCACAGTGCGATCAGGCCCTGAGCACAGGAGGTAACCAGACCCTGGTTCTCTCTCTTCATCCTGGGCTATTTTTAAGAGTGGCCGAGAGAGGCCCAGACTGTGGGGCCAGGGAGTGAGATTACTTAGCTGTGGCTCCATAAATAAGTCTGCCCCAGAAAGATGAGCCTGAGCGAGCAGAGCAGCAAAACCAGCATTCAAGGCAAGATTGATGGCCCTGGGTTCAGGAGAAGAGCAACTCAACAGCAATAAAACGCCATCCTTCCTGCCACCCCAGCTCAGAGGAGGCCGTAACACTACCAGGAACGTGAAAATACACATACGTGTGTCTGAACACACGAGTCCAGACAGTTTGCTCTTGGAAGGGTCAAGTCCTTGAAGGCAAACACCAGGAAAAGAAGGCTCGGAAACGGAAGTGAGGCATCTTCCTCCTTTGCCTCCTGTGGCCACACCAGCCCCTTCCCAGATGG